AATATCCTGTTATTATTCTGCTGCTTTTGAATATATAGGAAATATCCATTAATGCTGTTGAAAGTTGAAACAAATCAGATGTGGAATTATTGGCCAGTAGCAAATGCACTTAAAACTCATGCTTACTATTGTATATTTGGAGGGAAAATCCAGCGTTCTCATTGGTTTTCGGCAGCCTGATAGCTAGTGGCTCCTTGTTTTGCGTCATTTATTTGGCCTACAGCTTGCGATAATGGTTGTTGTAGTGTGTGTGTGTGTGTGTGTGTGTGTGTGTGGGGTGGGGTGAGCGTGCTTGTAAACCAGGCTCAGCGCCGTCTGACCGACCCGCAGCTGTTTCCTGCCCGGGGGCTTTTCCAGACACTCCCGGATACAGTCATGGCCACTGTTTACCATTTCCCCTCCTCCCAAAACTGTGCTTTCAGTCAGCGTAACAAGGCCAGTGGAATATTATTCTGATAACTTGTTTCTGTGGTTGACTAATAAAGGGGCCACAGCAACCCTGTTTTGGGTGAGTGGTGTGGAAGATGGCTGGAGGTGAATGACTCCATTATCTATTATATAGTATATATATTAACTTCTCAATTCCTTAGAGAGCCTTGGAAGCAGGAAGATTATGATATATATATTTGCTGCCCTCCATAATTATTGGCACCCCTGATTAAGATGTGTTCTTTAGCTTCTAATAAATTCAGTTGTTTTCTAAATAATATAGGACCACAATGAAAAAAAGAGGAAAATCCAACCTTTAATTCAAATGCATTTATTTAGTGGGAAAAAAATCCCACATTAAGAAATAATTCTTTTACATTAAATCATGTGTGCCACAATTATTAGCACCCCTGATATTAATACTTTGTACAACCCCCTTTTGCCAACAAAACAGCACCTAATCTTCTCTTATAATGTTTCACAAGATGGGAGAATACAGAAAGAGGGATCTTCGACCATTCCTCTTTGCACGATCTCTCTAAATCATCCAGCGACCTGGGTCCTCTCCTCTGCATTCCCCTCTTCAGTTCACTCCACAGGTTTTCAATGGGGTTGAGGTCTGGGGACTGAGATGGCCATGGGAGGAGCTTGATTCTGTGTCTGGTGAACCATTTCTGTGTAGATTTGGCCACATGTTTAGGGCCAAAGTTTTATCTTGCTGAAAGACCCAGTGACGACCCATCTTCAGCTTTCGGGCAGAGGCCACCAGATTTTGATTTAAAATGTCCTGGTCTTTCAAAGCATTCATGATGCCATGCACCCTAACAAGGTTCCCAGGGCCTTTTGTTGCCAAAAAGCTCTATCTTGGTCTCATCTGACCAAAGCACAAGGTCCCAGTGGAAGCCCCAATAATGCTTAGCGAACTCCAGACGTTTGCGTTTATGATTGTGAGTGAGAAAAGGTTTTTTCCGTGCATGCCTCCCAGGCAGCTTTTTGGCATGTAGATAGCGCCTGATGGTTGTTTTGGAGACTTTGTGACCCCAAGATGCTACCATTTGTTGCAATTCTTTAACAGTGAGCTTTGGAGAACTTTTTATTTTTCTTACCATCCTTACCATCAATAAGCTTGCGTCCTCGTCCAGGCTTGTTTACCACTGTTCCAGTTGTTTTTAACTTTTTAATGATTACTCTGACAGTAGATATGGGCAGGTGCAGGCAAGTGGCTATTTTCTTGTAGCCATTGCCTGACTTGTGAAGGTCAACACACATCTGCCTTACTTGAATGGTGTGTTCCTTTGTCTTTCCCATGTTGAAGAGTGGATAAGAGAAATGGCCTCTGTGTCACGTCATATTTATACCCCAGGGACGCAGGAAGTGATGAATTAGTAATTAAATGTTCCTAGATACTCTGATCAACTTTGTGAACTACTGTAGAAATGACAGAAATACTTCAATTACATTGATTTCCTAGGAATTGTTAGGGGTGCCAATAATTGTGGAAAAGGTGATTTTATGAAAAATAATTATTTCTTAGTCAGGAATTTTTTTCCCCTTAAAATTCACTTGAGTTTAAGGTTGCATATAGTTTATGTAAGTTTGAGAAAATGAATTTATTTAAGGCTTTTAACACATCTTAACCAGGGGTGCCAATAATTATGGAGGGCAGTGTATGTGTGTGTGTATATATACACTCACCTAAAGGATTATTAGGAACACTTGTTCAATTTCTCATTAATGCAATTATCTAATCAACCAATCACATGGCAGTTGCTTCAATGCATTTAGGGGTGTGGTCCTGGTCAAGACAATCT